TAATTCAGCCATCATTTACTATACAGGTCAAATCCTGTGTAGGTTTGTAGAAGAAGGTGGGACACGAGTGAGCATTTATCGGGCAGGCTGCTGTGTGCTGGGTAGGCGCTGTGGTAGCTCCTGTGGAGAGCTAGCAAGGAGACATGGTCTTCATTCTCAAGAAGTGCCCCCATGACCACCATGGTCATAAACACCCACATAGCCTTTTGTTCTCTTTTCTTCCGCCATGAAACCTACCGTCAGGAAAGCAGCTGGTAAATTAGGCCGCACTGAGCAGCTGAGCAGGTGTTTATAACTGGGCCTGAAGTTGTCTCTCACTATCCTTTCTCTCCTTATTTTAGTAACGAGCACCCCACACACACACTCCTTCCCGCCACATCCACCCCCTGGTTTTGGCTAGACATGTGACTGCCCAGCCAGAAACCATATTTCTCAACCTACCCTGAAGCTAAGTATAGACCCTGTTGATTATGACCAATGAAGTATGAGTGGAAATAAGTGGTAACTTTTGGGGTACGCCCTCCGCTTCCTCTGTCCCTGTTCCTGTGGGCTGGGATGCAAGCAGGGAGTATAGTGGTGAGCAGCTTTGCGCCCGTGGGGAGGGCCCACACCTGATGATTGGTGAAGCCACAGGGGGACCCAGGTCTATGGAGCAGAACTATCCTATCTCCTCAAGCGTCTGCCGGCCCAGACTTTGACAGGCAAGAGAGAAACTAAGTTCTTTCACCCATGGAAACTGAGTTTTTGTTGAAGCAGTTTCAAATCCGCTTCCGACTATAGTGAACCGCCCCCCCCCCCCCCCCCCCCCCCCCCCCCCCCCCCCCCCCCGCCGCAGAAGTTGAATACACTGAAGGCAGAAGTTGAACACACTGAAGGAATGCCTTGAGTAGGAGCTTTCTCAGAGTTCTGAAATCCTACGCAGAGGCCACCTCCTGGTCTGGGGTGTCTATAACAATGATCTCAGGGCATCACTCAGTTCATTTATCATCCACTTGTTGGGACAGCAACATATTTCATTGTGTGGCATGTCTAAGGTCACATGGCTAGTGCAACATTGATGCCAATAGCCAAGGAGGTCGCATTCTTCTGTCAATGGGACCACTCCATAGTTTACTGTGAATCTATGACGTGGTACCTAAGGAGTATCTCATCGCCGCTTCCAGAAGAGGCATGAAAGCCTGTCAGACAAGAGCCTGGAGTTAATAGAAACTCAGATTCTCAGACTTACCTTTAAGAGCTCTTGACATTTCCTCAAATTAAGCATGGTTTTCTCTCCTCGGAGATTAGGGTCCTTTGGCACAAGCCAGGGAATACTATTAAGAAATCTTTTTTCCCCCTTTTCTTAAAGTAGTTGTGAAAAGGACAATTAAGCCACAGAAATGCGAGCACTAAAGAAAGCAGGAAGTTAGACTAAAGGCAGCATCATGCGGGTCAGGGGATATTTAGTAATTATTAGCATTTGGAAGTCAGTGGTTACGGTTCAAAATAGTTCTTGTAAATGTTCAACCACTGGAAAGTCTTCAAAATGCCATGTAGCCAATAGTTTCTAGATGAAAGTATTTTTGTAAAGTAATAAAAACTCTCTCTCACTTCTGATAGCATCTCAGCTTACTGAGCGAAATAATGAAGAGCCTTTCACACCACACTGGACCCACTTCCTAGAAATTCGTAAATACCAGGCCACAGAGCGTGGCAAATAACTCCCAGGCAAGATGGCCACTCAGTGTGTTTAGAGAAGCAGCTCGTGTGGGAAAGACCCAGATGCCTGGCCCTCATGTCAATGTCCTTGGACCTAAGAATCACCAGAAATGGAGGCAGGTGGAAGTGGTAAGGCAGGGCCAGAGAGGCAGAAAGTGGGAAGTGGCCCGATTGAGGGGGAGGTTCAGCTGTCCGTGAAGAGTCCAAGCGTCCTCTTCCCAAAATCGAAGCAGGGCTGGGGAAACATGGCCATTAAGTCAAAAGACCCAGATTTGAGTTCTAACTTGGCCCTGGACCTGCAAGCTGACTTCTAGGTAGACACACAACTAGCTGAGGAGCAGATCCCTGCTGACTGCAGAGGTTAATGTGAAGAGGCAGTTAAGATATTTGGGGAAATGTGTCAAGTGCCACACATGACTCACTATTCTTTTGTTTGTAAGTGCAAATCAGTGCAGGCACAAAAAACAAAAAACAAACATCTTTTGGTTCAGGTGATGGTGGGCAGTGGCTCTCAGAGCTGATCACAGCTCCCCATATCCTTACCGGTGTATGAAGGACTGAAGTCCTCTGCTGCCTTTAGTTACGTGTCACCTGGGATTTGCTTGTCACTTCCGGGCAGAAGCCATCTGCCACATCCCCTCATCCTACCTCAGTGATTGTGTCGGGACAAAGTTTCCACTATCCTCAGTGACTATGGGGAGGACACTTGCTCGCTGTCCCGTCGTCATGGGCTGGGTAGCAAAAATCAACTTCTTTTAAAGCTAAAAGCCGCTGCAGCCTTGGGAGTGTTTGTTACTGCCGCATAACATCACACTAACTGCATTTGATTTTCTGTATTCTTGATGCTCTGGCATTTGGGGCCTTGACCCTGGAGACCCTCTCTCCCTGTGCTAATTCCTACCTCCCCTGAGAACGTGACTTTGATACAAAAATCAACCAATCCACAGCCACGCTGCGATGTCTTTTTACCAAACTCTCACACACTGAACAATAGTCCCCCTGGCCCGAGTCACCCCAGGACCAAGTACCGCACAACGAGGGACCAATTCTGTGGTCCGGAGCCTGCCGTAATTGTTCAAACTGGCCAATCCTGCGCTTGCTCGATGGACCTATTCTGCCTTGCCCATTCCTCCCTGTGAAATGCCAATAAAGGCTCCGGGCCATGCTATCCCCTCGCGTCTCTGCCTCCTGACCATCTCCGGCCTTTCCCCATGTGGCCCTCACGCCTTCTCATTCTAGGGATCCCTGTGTATAAACTTCTTCCTTCCTGACAGTCATTTCCAGTCTTACTGTTCCTGATAAAAAGAAATGCCGGGTTCATTGCAACACAGGAGACAGTAGGAGGAGGAAGACGGATTGGCATCAGGCCCACTGGATTTGCCCACCCTCTTCCCACCCTCTGGGCTCTGCTTTGCTCAGGGCTCATCTCTCCCCTTGCACATGGGCTTTCTCTGTGTGGCAGGAAGCAGGACCAAGCATCCTGGCTTCCCTAGCGGCACCCAGAGGCAGGAGATAATTTTGGGGCTGATTCCAGCAGAAAAAGCCATAGGGACACTCAGATTGGCCCACTTTTGAGTTATGTATGATTGTGACACAATCTGCGGGCCAAGCACATTGACTGGGATTGAGCACGCACTCCGCACCGTGGCCTGGTGGGTGGGAAGTGCTGGGCAGCCAGCAACACAGGCACGGTGACAGACCCAGCTCTGCCCTTTGTGGGTGGAGTCTGGACATCAGAACCTTGCCATGTCCTACGGAAAGGACTGCCACTCATTACACAAGGTACTGCTGGAAATTGGACAAGCACTGAAGGAGGGAACGTCCTTTGAGCGTCACAGAAGCTAGGAGGTCTTTCTGAGAGAGATCAGACCAACTAGGAACACGGTACCCACCACAATCCACCCTCCCTGTCGGTGGAAAATAAACCCCTTCAGTGAGCACATGAGGTGAAGGGTAGCAAACATTTGTTGAATTTTCCGGTTACTTATGGAATGCCCTCTGTAGAGACTGCACTCAGGTGGTTCTGTTCAGGTCACCTTGACCGAAGGAACGTCCGACTGCCCAGACACCAATGCTGCTTCAGGTTATTTTCCTATGGATGCCCATGGGAGCCCAGAAACGGGGCTGGGAGATTCTGACTGTGGGTCACAGGAACTAAAAGGGAAACAGAGGGGTTGAAATCACAAGGCTGATTTTAACCTAAGATCAGGTGCTTGCTCTCAATCTGGAAACAGTGGGCTGGCTTCCAGGGTCCATGTAAAACATGGAAGATTCATTTCCTGCAGAAGGGACCCACAGCTTTCATAGACTGTTGATGGGTACAGCCCCTATAAAGTTAAGAACTGACATTTTAATGGGAAGTTTGCTCAGCTTCCAGCAAATGGCCAAGAGGAGCTGGGGATTTTTTTTTTTTTTCTTGAAATTCCTAGTATCTCAGGAGTAAGTTTTCTCATCTTTCCTTCAGTTCCGGTACTTTCCAAATGGAGCCAAAGTCACAGACCTCCACGTCCCTTGCAGAGTCCCGTGTGGTAGAGAGAAAGCGAGACCGATCTGGGCCCAGGTCCTAATGAGGCCACTTCCCAGCAGGTGACTGAACCTCACTGAGCAGATTTCCCCACTGGTGAGGAGGGGGCGTGACATTTGCTGTCCATCGGCCCCGCCAAGGCAGATGAAGCAATGCCGCAGTCAGCTGTCCAACCTCCTTTCCTTTAGTAATCAGTGCTAACATGACCGAGCCTTTCTGCACGAAAGCGCTGCAGAGTGGGTGCTTTAGTTAATTGCCATCTGAGTTTTAAAAATGGGAGGGGGTGGGCTGACACTTGGGAGGTCCAATACCTCGTCACTGAGGCAGAGCTGGCTTCCGACCCTGGCAGCATGTCGGGGGCGCGTCGTCTCCCCACCCCACCCCTGCACTCATGCACACTGCCCAGAAGCCATCAAAACGGGAACTCAGCAGGCGGGCGCTGCCGCCGTGGGGGGAAGGGGATAACGAGGGGGCAGCCTCACACAGGGGCCCCGGGATGTGGCAGGCACGTGCCAGGGATGGCTCCGCTCTAAGGGGCACTTCCACGCTAGCTCTTAACAAGCACACACTGTCAACCTCGCTTTCCTTTGCTCTACGTGACAGGCAAACAGGGAACATGGGGAGGGTCACAAGCCTGGTTTCAGGTCACACCGTGCCCACGGGCTTAGCTGGGAATTAGGAAGCTGGGATCATCTTTATGAACATGAGGCAGCACTGGCCTAAGGCAAGAACTCCGGCTAAGGACAGAAGCTTCGAGAAACAGGACTAGAGTCATAAGGTTGTTAGAACTGTTATTTATTTCCAATCCTTCCCACTGCTTAGTCTGCAACGGCGACACAGCACCAAGGGTGGGCCCTCTGGCTTCGTGCAGGAGGGGATCGGCCCCCCTTTCAGACCCCCTAGGCCGGAAGGAGGGCTGACAGGGTGGAGGGGGCTCGGGGAGGCTCTGGGTGGAGGCTGGGGTGGGCCACACTGCAGTGGCCCCACTCTGGGGACCCGGCCAGCTTCCCCGACGGAGGAGCGGGACTGCCGGTCCCCTCCCTGTGTTTCAAACTGCCACCTCACACCTGCTGCTGGGAGGGAACGTGCTAGATGAGCTCTACCACATGGGCCTGGATTTCCCGTCAGCCACGCGGGGCGGCTGCCGGAGCCGAGTCCCCCTTACAGGTCACAGTACTGGTTACACCTTCCAGCCATGGAGGCTCAGCCAGCTTCAGAAAGAGGAAAGATGGGGGAGGAGAAGGCGTGGGGCAGGGCTGCTTCCTCCCCACCCGCCCAGCCTTCTGGACGGCAGCCCCTCCCCGGCCCCATCAGCGGGGGCAACGGCTGGCTGGGCTCATTTGCTGGCCACGGCGGAGAGCTGGTCTCGGATGCGGCCCAGCCCGTCCAGCATGGTGTCCAGCGTCTCCTTACTCAGCTCCACGGTGACGGCCGAGACGGCGGGCTTGTCTCCGCACAGGCTAGGATCCTCCCGGATCTGAAAAGAGAACATGGCCCAGAGGTCAGAGCCGCCTCTCTTCCCGTGGCGCTGCGGGTGAGCGCTGGACCCGGGACCCCTCCCCAGTTCCCGTGAACCTGAGGACAGGCTCTTTGCTCCACACGGAACCCCAGCCCTGGAGCCGTTTAGCAAATGAGATTCCCTGAAGCTTGGGAAAGTTCTGTCCGTGAGGATGCTCAGGGAGGGTATCAGAGGAGCTAAGGCGGGCTCACCCCTCGGGCCCCTGACTCTGGGCCATGGAGTAGGAAGCCGCTGCTTGACCCACACTGCTGCTCTATGCAGGGGGTGCTAGGGGTACGCGGGACTCACCGGATGCAGAATATAGAGCTTCTAGTTAGGGGTATCTGTTTCTTTAAGAAAAAAAGTAAACTCTACTGATCAAGACTTCGTTGTTAGAGGCACCCCTACTTTTTCATTTTCTTACAGGTCCGATTTCCTGGGTGTGAGGTTAAGTAAACCCAGCATCACTCAACAGACCCTAAAACAGACGTGCGGTTTAAAAAGACTCCCAAGAGAACTGTACAGTGACGGTAACGCCGGGGAGGCGACAGTGTGCGAACAAGAGAAAGAAGGACCACGGCTGTCTGGTTGCTAACAGGGGCTCCCGCCCAGCGCTGCTACACACAGCGGGGGCCCAATCCACAGGACAGGCAGCTGCCCGAGGTGAACCGAAATGATCCCGAGGGCAATCTGAAATATGACGGCAGCCCCCCTGCCTGGTGAAAGCTGAACCTCCCCAACAGTGTGTAAGCTAGACTTCAGGGATCAGCAAACCATTTTTAAAACTTGTGTTTTGTGTCTGACTTACATTTTAAAATGACTACTTTGGGTCTGTGTTTTATTACGTGTATAATATATGAATACAGTCCTACTCTGTAGACTTGACAATAAAGACCCCACCTGGGGGTGCTAGTGTTTCCTGCGGGGTACAGGTCCCAGAGCTGTGGACACCCGTATTTTCGATTGCTGGCGGGGCACCAAGCCACTGCTATCCCGTGGTTCCTTCTTGCGAGCGCGGGCGTACCTTCATCTGGAGCAGGCAGGTGGGGACGGCCATGCGGCTCATGCTGTCAGAGGAGGTTTTGATGTCCACTCTCCAGTCTAGGTCGACCAGGCGCGGCAGGGAGACTGCGAAGGAGATGGCCCCGCTCGGAGTGCACGCCTCTCACGCTCCCCGGCCCTCACTCTGACAGCGCCCCCGGTGGCTGTCCTGCTACCCAGCCACAGAGCAAGTCTCCGCAGGAAAGCCAAGGCCGGGTTCCTGACCTCACAGGAAGGCACGGGCCTTCCCTGCCACCGCAGTGCCGCGTGCGCTTGGCGCTGCTTCAGGGTGGGCGCCCGGCCGGGCTCCTGCCCACACATAGCGCTCCAAGGCAGAGAAGATGAGGCTGGGCCTGAGTCTAGGAAATGTGTCGCTTTGACGACAGTGGAGAGTCGGCTCGAAGACGGGTTCTACCACTTCTCTAAGCTCTGGGCCTGTTCCCTCCTCTGTAAAGTGGGGATAATCTTAGCCTAGTCCCAGGGGTGGGGTAGGGTGGGGGTGGGGAGGACCCAACGAGTTAATGCTGTCGACACTGTGACTGGCTAGCAAGTTTAGTAACCATTCATAACATACCCACTTTTATTCAATCTTTCAAACTAATTCAATTCCATTACTGCTTTTTTCCTAATGGAAATATGATGGGTTTAGGTACTTCACTTTCTGCTGTGCATATTTCCTTTTTTTCATATAAACAATATGCCCTTATTACATTAAGTTTACAATCAGAAAAACAATGAAAAAGTGATTATTAAAAAGGAAAGCACAGTGGGCTGCTCACTGGGATCAGGTTCACGGACGCTGAGTTCTGGTTATAGGCCCGGCCGCCGGGCAGACGTAGAGCCGCGGCCGGAAAGGACAGATTGGTGGGGCGGGGAGGCAGGTTTCTCGGTACTCACTCTGATTTGCCTGGGCTTCCGTTCGCCAAGTGGAGCTGTTTAGAGGGAAAGATGAGGAAAAATTAACGAAAGAGGGATGAGAACCAGTAATGAGAGGGGCCCGTGGACCTGGACCTCTTCCCCTTCTGGGACCTTCAAGCCTGTAATCACTTCCTGACAGCAAAGGACCACAGAAATGTTTGCCGGCAAGAAGCAGTTTTTTGTTTGTTGTACACAACTCAGTGACGTTAAGGCCGTAAGTGTGAGTTTTCATAGGTTAGAAGGGCGCCGGGGTGGCTCGATCAGTTAAGTTTTCAGAGCTTAGGGGGGGGGGTAAGAAAAGGCTTAGCGCACTGCAGTCCTACTGCGTTATCGTTCTCAGAGACAAAACAGGAAGGGTCAATCTGCCGCATCAAGCATCTATTCCACAAAGTTCTGCACCTGGGCAGACACGGCCAAGCAGACCTGTCTAATGCTACCGCACAGGGCGTCACCGTGAGGTGCCAGGCAGTCAGGACAAAATGTGGTCACGTGTGAGAAAGTCTGAATAAACAATAACACCTCTGGCAAGCAGGCAGTATCTGTTATTCCCATCTGAGAATTCTGTTCAAGACTGCTGCTAAGCAGTGGCTATCGGTTCTGCTTAAATTGTATGTACCTAAAGGATTTTCCCAGAAAATGTTTAGATAATTCACAAAAGAAACAAAAATGACCGGTTAGACATATGAAAAAGAGAGGGTGCCTGAGTGGCTCAGTCGGTGAAACATCCGACTTCAGCTCAGGTCGTGATCTCGCAGTTTCTAAGTTCGAGCCCCGCGTCAGGCTCTGTGCTGACAGCTCAGAGCCTGAAGCCTCCTTCAGATTCTTTGTCTCCTCTCTCTCTGCACCCCCCCACCCCTCCCCTGCTCACCCTCTCTCCTCAAAAGTAAATAAATAAAAAAGAATTTAAAAAATATGAAAGAGACTTTTGACATCAATCAGAGATATATACACTGAAATGAGGTGCATTTGGCATCTGTGAACTGGCGAAAATGGAAAACGAACTCTCTCGGTGCTGACGAGGGCATGGGGAGGGGAGCTCTCCGGTCCCGCTGGTGGAAACGGCTGGTGCAGTCTTTCCACCGGCCAACCTGAGACTGTAAAGCAGAGCCTCACTACGGCCTTTAACCAATAAGGAAATGATTAAGCATGTGAGCAAAAGTTCCACAGTAAATTTTTCACCGAAGTGAAAACTGCCATTAGCCTAAACATCCAGCACTTGGGAATTTCTTAACTAAATTGTACACAATTTCTCCACATAAGGAATACATTTCGCCATTACAAATGAGATTGAAGGTAAATATTTACTGACCCACAAATTCACTATGAAAGCGTTACAAGGAGCTCTCAAGAAAAGAGCACTCACATGTGTTCTAGGATGATTTTCGTCAGCAGGTGTTTGAGGTTCTGGTGGAAATTCTCGGGAAAGAGAGCCAGGATCTCCTCGGCAGAGGACAGGTCACGGAACACGGCCAGCCTGGTGAGGCGGTGCAGAGCCCCGAGCAGCTGCAGGGCAGGGTGGTGAGAGCAGGGGCTGGGGGGTGGCGGCAGGGCCCCGTACGCCCCGAGGGCCCGCCTCTCCCTGCCCCGGTCACCCCAACAGCCCCATGGGTCCTGACGCCCACGGGCCTTGGCCCGCCCCTACATCCCTGCTGCTCTAGAAGACGGGTGCAGCCTCCTGACCTAGGAGCCTGTCCACGAGCCAGAAACTTCTGCTTGGGAACAAGGGGTTAGTAAGTCCTCTCTCCTTGTGCACAGAATCTGACCCTCAGTTCACTTTCCAGCCTATTCTCTGGTAACATGAGAGAAGCGGCGAGTTAGTGTGTTGCTAGGTGACACTGCCTCAGGTCACTGCCTGGGGTCACGGCCTCAGACTTCAGTCCGCGGGAACTCCCGAGCTCAGCTTCCGGCTGCCCGCTGCCGCCCCACCGGAAGCTGGGCATTCTGAACTGTCACCAGCGGTACCGGCTCCCGAGGGGTCTGGCCTTCTAATCCAGGGTGTCCCTGTCCCTAGGCTGTCAGCCAGGAGGGCAAAGAGAACAAACGGATGGGGCGGGCTGTGCTGACCGTGCTGGGGAGGAGTGCCCGACGCTGGCCTGCTAGGCCGGCGTGTGCCACCCTCCGCCCTTGCAACCCGCAGCCCGGTGTGGCCCGGGTCGTCCCGGGGACAGGACAAGGCTCAGCTGAAACCAAGGAGACTCTCTGGAGGGAACTGCTCTCGGATGCCCTGGGAGGAGGCTGGGCCGCAGGGCACAGCCAAAAGGTGAGGGGGCCGGCCCTCCCCTGATGAGGGTGCCTGTTAGGGGCCAATGCCCTGCAGGGTCCCCAACAGCCCCGCTGCCACCACAGTACCCAGTCATCACACACCCTTTCCCGGCTCCCTCTCCTTCCCTGCAGGACTGCCCCACTCCCTCCTTTGTGCTTTCCAGACTCACACCTCAGGGTCTACTTCTGGGGAGCCCAAAATAAGTCCCACTCGCTTCCATAATCTGGCTTCTGCCTTTCCCGTTCTATTGCCTTTCCTGTTCTATAGCTGACTTCAATGAACAGAGCTCTGGGTTAAAAATAGCAATAACAGTAACGTAGGTCTGTTCGGATGAACTCCGGTTTTAAAAACAGATGTGCCCTAAAAAGAGCAGGCTGTGAATACTGCATAAAGTCGCTCTTCCTTTTGGCCACCCGCTGAGGTCAGGTGGGGGCCCAGGAGCATGCCCCACCCCCCCATCCCGCCTCACACTCGGGCCTCAGCTCCCTCAGCTCGGAGCCTCTGCCCAGTGACCCCTAAGAAGTCTGTCTGAGCTCTCTGGCTGACAAGCTAACAGCAGAGGCATGTTACAGGGAAAGAAAATCACAGAAAGGCTGGCTTTTGTCCACACTGTCTAGGGAACAAGTCTGAAAAGGAAATGGCCGGGACCTCTGATTCTAGGTATAATTCTCCCATCCAGGCCTCATTTATCATAAGGAAGTGAAGGTTCAAAGACAATAGCTTTTACGTTCACTAGCATTAAAAAAAAAAAAAATCTATTTTAAGTTTGTTATAATGTCAACAGACATTTCAGGGGAAAAATTTCCTTGGATGTGGCAATGACTGGGAAGTTAAGAAAGACACTAATGAGCTGAGAAGCCAGCGGCCAAAGTTCATTTCTGACCATACTTACTTGCTCCGCTTCCTCCTGGGTCACAGACAAGCTGGAACACGTAATATCCAAGAGTTTTTTTGAGCCAACGGCTGAACTGGAAAAGCTCTCTTGGCACAGCTGTCTGACAACATCTTTTGAGGAGGCCTATGAATTAATTCACAGATGGGGGAAGAAACCAATTCAGACTCTGAAAATACATGTTTTAGAACATAATACTGTCTCAGTCATCGTGGGATACCTCTGGGACGCAAGATTTAAAGGTGCATTGGATATTTCCATTTCTGGAAGGATGCAATAGACGGACTGTTCCTTCTGAGCACAACTAAAACCACCGGGCACAATTAAAACCGCATACAGAAAACATAAGCTAACTCTGAAAGGGGGAGGGGAGTAGAGGGACCTGCTGTGGACCTCACGACCAAGAAATGACACGGTGGTAACTTACCGGGATTTTCTTTCTGTTTGTAAATCAGACTTTGAACTGAAGAACAGGGCAACCCAGAATGCTAACAGGTACACAAAAACTCCAAACAAATACCTGCTCTCTTGAGCCAAAGGACCAAAAAAGCTTCGCAAGACAGAGACCTTTTAGGTGATAACTGCTCTACCGCAGCCGAACACCACAGAAGAAAACTAGAGCCCCACTGCTGCCTGTGTCAGCAAAGGCTGGGTGGGGGGGTACAGACTTCCACCTGTTGGAGACTGCAGTGCGGTGTCCCAAGGCGCCCACCAGAGTGGTGCCAGGGAGGACCAAGTAGGAAGCGGGGGCCTTCATCCCACCGACTGGCAACAAGTCCCGGCACCACATGGTATTAATAGGGACCACCTGGGGCCAGAACTCCCACCCCTGCCCAGTGGCCACAAGGAACCCCCACTTTGGATTTCAGTAGGAGCCAGTGCAGAACCTGGAATTTTATCTCCATCTGGAAGTAATGAGGCAGAAATCCTTTCCCCCTACCCAAGCAGTGTCAGAGAGAGCCAGCTAAAACAGAAGATCCAGAATCTTAGGGTATAATACAAGAATGCCCAGGTTTCAACTGAAAACCATTCATCATACCAAGAGCCAGAAAGACCTCAAACTGAATGCAAAAAGACAATCATTAGGTTGTCCACATCAAGGTAAGAGATGTCAAAATTACCTGACAAAGATTTTAAAGCAGCCATGATAAGAATGCTTCAACAAGTACACAGAAAGACACCTGAAACAAATTAAAAAGCCAGAAAGTTCCAGCAAAGAGACAGAAGATACAAAGAACAACAAAATGGAAATTTTAGAACTGAAAAAATACAATAACCAAAGTTAAAGGTTTGGTAGATGGGCTCAGCACCAGAATGAAAGGGGCCAGAGGAAAGAATCAGAACCACTCGACAGTACCCAATCTGCACACAGAAAACAGACTGAAAATAACAACGGAGCCTCAGGGGTCTCTGGGACTATACCAAAAAATCTAGCATTCGTGTCACTGGCGTCTTAGAAGGGGAGGATAAAAGAGGGCAAGGCTGAAAAAGTACTTAAAGAAATAATGGCTTAAAACTTTCCAAATTTAGCTACAGACACAACTGTACACATTCAAGAACCGAAGCAAATTTTCAAAAGGATAAATCCAAAGAAACCCATACCAACACATACCATCATTAAACTCCAGAAAACTAAAGGCAAAGAAAAAAATCTTGAAACCACTAAGAGAGAAACGATATTTTATCTCTATGGGATCATTAGAATAATAGATTTCCAATCAGAACCCACAGAAACAAGAAGGCAGTGGCACAATATTTTTTCCACAATATTTAAAGATATTGAGAGAAAAACTATCAACCTGGAATCCTACACCAGCAAAAAATACCCTTCAGAAAACGAGGAGGAAATCAAGACATTGTCACATAAAAGGAAACAAAGAAAATCTGTCACAAGACAAAAGAAGTTCTCTTAATAGAAAGGACACAATAAAAGGAACCTTGGAACATCAGGAAGATACACAGAATACAACAAACAAAAATAAGGGTAAATACAATAACTTTCCTTCTCTTGAATTTCTAAATTCTGTCTGAAGGATGAAGCAAAAATTATACTCTGTCCAATGTGGCTCTAAATGTATGCAGAGGAAATATTTAAGACAATCATATTATAAATGGAGAAGGGATAGAAAGGAAGGTAAGGTTTCCATACGTCATCTCTAACTGGCAAAATGATGACACTGAGAGATTGTGATGTTATGTATATAAATGTAGTAACTAGAGGAACTGCTAAAAAGATTATAAAAAGAAATATATTTTAAAATGTTATAGATAAGAGGGAATGCCAAAAATATGTTCAAATAACCACAGGAAAGAAGGAAAAAGTAAAAAGAAACCAAAGAACATGAAAGAGCAGATAAAGAAACAAAAAAATTAACTGGCAGACTTAAATTCTAACATTCAATAATTATATTAGCTGTAAATGATAAATTAAATATGAGCTGCAAATATGACTCAATTAAATGCTGTCTATTAGAAATGCTCTTCAAGATGTGGTTTATCTATACCATGGAATACTACATGGCAATGAGTGAAATCTGGCCATGTGCAGCAACATGGATGGACCTTGAGGGTGTTATGCTGAGCGAAATAAGTCAGGCAGAGAAGGACAAATATCATGTTTGCACGTATAGGAGGATTAGGAGGAACTTAACTGAGGAACTTAACTGAGGAACAAGGGGGAGAAGAAGGGGGGAAATGGTGGGGGAAAGGGAGAGAGGCAAACCATGAGAGACTCTTGAATGCTGACAAAAACTGAGGACTGATGGATGTGGGGGGGAGGGGGGGAGGGGCATGGAGGAGGGGCACTTGTGGGAATGAGCACTGAGTGTTACGTGGAAACTAATTTGACAATAAACTATTTGAAAAAAAAAAAAGAAATGCTCTTCAAATATGATAGAGACAGATTAAAAGGACGGGAAAAGATACATCATGCAAATATTAATGAAATAAAATCAAGACTGGCTACATTAATATCAGACAGAGTAGACTTCACAGCAATGCAGTGGTGCTCCTTACCAAAAACAGAAAGGAACATTATATAACGATAAAAGGTTACAGCTCCCAAGAAAACATCCTAAATACGTATGCACCCAGAAAGAGAGCTAGAAAACACAAGAAGTAAAAACAGAACTGACAAGAGGGACAGACAAATCCACAAGTACAGTTGGAGACTTCAACAACTATCTTTCAACAACTGATAGAACTAGACAGACGTTCAACAAGGACGCAGAACATTTCAACAACACCATCAATCAGTCTAATCAACGTTCATGGAACAGTAGCCAGCAGCAACAGAAGATACATTCTTCAAGTGCCCGCTGAACATATACCAAGAGAGATCATATTCTGAGCCATAAAACAGACCTCAACAAATCTGAAAGATCTGAAATCAATAGAGTGTGCTCTTGGTAACCACAATGGAATCAAACTAGAAATCACTAACAAAAAAGACGTCAAGAAAATATTCAAACAGTCGGAAACTTAAATGATCTACAGAACAAAGAGGAGCTCAAGGGAAATTTTAAAAATTACACTAAAGGCATAAAAACGAAAAACAAAACCCAAATTTTGGGGACACAGTCACGACAGCATTGAGAGGAAAATTTACAGCATTCAATGAATATATTATAAAAGAGTAAAGTACTCAAATCAATAGTCTAAATCCCCACCACAAGAACAAAGAAAAAGAAAAGCACGATAACCGAAAAGAAGAAGAAAGGAAACAACAAAGGACAGAAACCAATGAAACTGAAAGCAAAAAAAGAGAGAGAGAGAGAGAGAGAAACCAATGAAACAAAGAATTAGTGCTTTGAGGGGCGCCTGGGTGGCTCAGTCGATTAAGCAGCCGACTTTGGCTCAGGTCATGATCTCGCGATTCATGGGTTCATGTGTTGACAGCTCAGAGACTGGAGCCTATTTCGGATTCTGTGTCTTCCTCTCTCTCTGACCCTCCACAGCTCGTGCTCTGTCTCTCTCTGTCTCAAAAATAAATAAAGGTTAAAAAAATAATAAAAAATAATTAGTTCTTTGAAAATATCAATAAAATTGGCAAACTTTTACCAAGGCCCACAAACTTAAACAGAGAGAAGACATAAATTACCAATTTCAGGAATGAAACAGAAATGTAGAGCACCACAGATTCTAAGGACTTCAAAAGGAAAATAATAACTGCAAACAACTCTTACAACATGTAAATCTGGTAGCTTAAAGTGGAGAAATTCCTCAAAAAACACAAACTACCACAATTCCCCCAACATGAAACTGATCATTTGAATAGCCCTATAATGATTAAGGAAACTGAATTCATAATTTAAAACGTCCCAAGAAGAAATCTCCAGGCCCAGATGGTTTCACTGGAGATTTCTTTCTTTTTTATTAAAAAAAAAATTTTTTTTAATGTTTATTTTCTTCTTGAGAGAGAGAGAGCAAGCGAGCAGGGGAGGGGCAGAGAGGGAGACAGAGAATCTCAAGCAGGCTCTGTGCTGACAGCAGAGAACTTGATGGGGGCCCGAACCTATGAACCGTGAGATCATGACCTGAGCCAAAGTCAGATGTTTAACTGACTAAGCCACCCAGGTGCCGCTTGATGGAGAATTCTAACAAATGTTTAAAAAAAGAACTAACTAGTCCTACACAATCTTTTCTAGGAAACAAAAAAGGATACCATATTAATCGGCTCAGGAAGAAAATCACATGATATCAATGAATGCAAAAAAAGCAGCTGACAAAATTCAACATCCATTCTTTGAGAGAATCTCAAGCAGGCTCCATGCTCAGTGCAGAGCCTGATGTGGGACTCGAACCCACAAACAGTGAGAGCATGACCTGAGCCAAAACCAAAAGAAAGTTGCTTAAATGCCTGAGCCACCCAGATGCCCCTCAACATTCATTCTTGATGAAAACTCTCATAAAATTAGAAACAGAGAGAAGACTTTCCATAACTTGATATACAGCATTTACAAAAACCCTAGAGATAGCAGTATACCTAATGGTGAAAATCTAAAGTCAGGAACAAGCCAAGGATGTCTGCTGTCACCACTCTTTTTCAACATAGTGCTGAAAATTCTAGCCACTGAAATAAGAAAAAGAAATAAAAGATCAGAAACGCAGAAACAAAGCTGCCCTATTTTCAGAAACCCTGACTGTCTACACAGAAAATCCCAAGGAATGTACAAAAAAACCTACTAGAATAAGTGAGTTCAGCATGTTTGCAGATATGAGATACATGTAAAAAATCAGCTGTTTTTCTAAATGTTAGCAATGAATGTGTAAACATTGGAATTAAAAATACAATATCAGGAGTGCCTGGCCGGCTCAGTCAGAAGAGCATGCAACTCTTGATCTTGGGGATTGTGAGTTTGAGCCCCACACTGGGTGCAGAGATTACTAAAATAATAATAAAACTTTAAAAAATAAAAATACAGTATCAGTTGTAGTTGCTCAAAAAAAGAAAAATACTTGGTATAAATCTAGCAAAACATATATAGGACTTGTATGCTAAAAATTACCCAACACAGATTAAAGATATCAAAGATCTAAATAAATGAGGAGCTATATCATGGATTGGAAGATTTAACACACTAAAGATGTCAATTCTTCCCTAAGTGATATACAGGTTTAACACAATTCCTATAAAAAATTTCAGCAGATTCTTAAAAACATAGACAAAATCATTCTAAAATGTATATAGGAAGGCAAAGAAACTAGAATAGCTAAAACAGTTTTGATAAAGAATGAAGTAGGAAAAATCAGCCAATCTGATTTTGAGACTTATGACATAGCGACAGTAATCAAGACTATGTGGTATCATCAGAGGAATAAACAAATAGATAAATGAAACAAAATAGAGAATCCTGAAATAGAACTTATACAAGCTTACCCAACTGATTCTTTTTTTTTTTTAAGTTTATTTTTATTTATTTTGAGAGATAGAGAGCAAGCAGGGGAGGGACAGAGAGAGAGGGAGACAGAATCCCAAGTAGGCTCTGTACTGTCAGTGCAGAAAACAACGCAGGGCTCGAACCCATTAACAGGAGATTATGACCTGAGCTGAAATCAAGAATCAGTTCATGTGACTGAACCAACCAGGCGCCCCCCAACTGATTGTCAACAAAGTTGCAAAAGCAAGTAACTATGGGAAGGACAGCATTTTCAACAAAGGGAAATGGAACTGACCATTCACAGGCAAAGAAATAAATAAAATCAATCTCAAACTGTCTCTCACATGTTATACAAAATTAACTCAAAATGGATCATGTACTTAAATGTAAAACGCAAAACTATAAAACTTTATAAAACACCTGGAGTCCTATGGCTTGGCAAAGAGTTCTTAGCCATGACACCAAAAGCACAATTTATAAAAAGAAAAACTGTTGATAAATCGTACTTCATTAAAATGAAAACTTTTGCTCTGTGAAAGTTCCTGTTATGGACTGAATGGTGTCTCCCTACAATTCATGTCAAAGTCCCAATTCCCAGAACCTCAAAATGTGGTCTCATTTAGAAACAGCATTGTTGCAGATGTAACTAGTTAAGATGAAGTCACAGAGTGGACCCTAATCCAACAGGACCCATGTCCTTATTTTAAAAGGGAATGTAGACACAGAGATGCAAAATGGGAGAGCACCATATGCAGATGAGTGCAGAGATTTACAAGCTAAGGTACACTAACTGTTGCCAGAAACCAACAGAAAGTAGGACTTAGCCTGGAACAAATTGTTTCCCACAGCCCTCAGCAGTAAGCAATCTAGCCAGCACCCTGGTCTCAGACTTCTGGACTTCACAACTGTGAGAGGATAGATTCCTGTTGTTTAACCACTAAATCTGTGGTACTTTGTAAGGGCAGACCTAGCAGTTAATACACCGCTATGAAGAGGAGGAAAAGATAGACACAGACCAGGAGAAAATATGTGTAAACCACGTATCCAACAAAGAACCAGTATCTAGAATGCATCATCTCAAAACTCAAAAGTAAAAAAGCCAACAATGCAATTAAGATGTGGGCAAAAGACATAAAGAGATAAGTCACTGGAGAAGATATACAGATGGTTAATAAACATGTGAAAAGATGTCCAACATCATTAATCATTAGGAACATGCAAATTAAAACCAGAATGAGAGGCGCGCCTGGGTGGCTCGGCTGGTTAAGCGACTGACTCTTGGTTTCGGCTCAGGTCATGATCTCACCATCATGAGACTGAGCCCCGCACTGAACTAGGCAAGTGTGCAGCCTGCTTGGGATTCTTTCTTTCTCTCTCCTTCTCTCTTTCTTTCTCTCTCTCTCTCACTCTGTCTCTCTCCCATTTGTGTATGCGCACACCTGCGCTCTCCCTTTCAAAATAAACAGTAAAAAAAAAAAAAAAAACCCACATATAAAAACAAATAAACCCATCAGAATGGCTCAAATAACACACAGTGATGACCACGAATGCTGCAAGGATGGGGAGAAATAGGACCGCTGATCCGTTGCTGGTGAGAATGTAAAGAGGTACAGCCACTCTGGAAAACAGTTTGGCATTTTCTTAAAAATTAAAAAAACAAAAAACCCCACAAACCATGCGACTACCAAATGATCCAGCAATTGCATTCCGGGGCTTCTATCTCAGATAAACGAAGACTTTCGTTCATACAAAAACCTGTACAAATGTTTTTGGCAACTTTCTTTGTAGTACCAAAAAATCGGAAACAATCTACATGTCGTATCATGGATTACTACCTAACAATAAAAAGAAAATAACTATTGATACTACATGGATGAAGCTCTGGCGAAATGGGCTAGGTGAAAAAGCCAATTGCAAAATGTTATGTGCTGTATGATTCCATTTATATAACAGGCGTCAAATGACAAAATTATAGAAATGATGAACAGGTCAGTGAATGCCAGAGGGCACGGAGAGGGCGAGGGCAGGGGGAAGTGGATTTGGCTATAAAAGGGCAGCATGAAGGCATGTGATGAGGGCAAGGTTCTGAATCTCCACCCTATCAATGTCAATATCCTGGTTGTGATATCATATTAACTGTTTTGCAGGATGTTACTGATAGAGGAAACTGGGTAAAGGGTAAATGGGACCTTCCTGTATTCCCTTTTACAACTGCATCTAAATCTATAATTACCTCAAAATAAAAATTTAAAGTGATATTTACAAAAAGAAAATACACAGAATAATAGGAATGAAAATGAATTAACGATTGCTACATAATGGCAAGAAAAAGCAGCCAGGAACAAAAAATGTATATGCTGTATTATTCCTTTAAACTCAAACATGGGCAGTAATAAATTGATTCTGAAAGTAAGGACAGCGATTACTACCGGGTCGAGGAACAACAGAGATTTCTGCAGCACTGGTCATGTTTTGGTTTTGACAAACGTGTTAGTTACATAGGTGTGTGATAAATCACCGAGATGTGCACTTTTCTGTTGCACATTAATGATAATTAATGACTAATGATAATTTTTTAAAGTTTATTAAAGAAAAAAAGTCCATACGATGAATAGGTAACAGGGTGGTCAGAAGAGCCACAATGAGGGTGGAGAGGCCCAGGGTGGGAGCTGAGAGCCTTGGCTTCCAATCCCAGCTTTGTGACTTCACTCATTGCCGTATGCCAGGAGTAAGGATACTTGCTGGGGATACACTTGTCAATAACACAGAGCAGATGCTTTTAGCGAAGGAGAATACAAGTGCACGCTGATGAGACCAAGGCAAAAGAGTGGCCACTGCAGGAACCAATCAATGACGATGCTGTACCATGAACTGCCTAGTATTATGAACTCAGCCTTCTTCATCTGGAGTTAAGAAAATAAAATTAGTCCCGATTGGATCTTCCACTCTGTAAGAAAGGCAGAAAAGTGTCTACAAGGGAAGAAAAAGCCGCCCCTTCTGCCATAGGCGATGTCAGAGTTAAACAAGTAATCCATCATTTCATTTGGTTTTAAGAAGCCTCACAATCTCGCAAATAACTCTCAGGAGAGTGTTTTGGCCCTTACCCAGGTCAGAGCAACTACAGAAAACTCGGGACTCCGGAGAAGAGAACGCACACTTCACTTGGGGGGCTGTGTGGGCGCCGAGGAGACAGATTTGCCAACTACGGAACGAAGAGCTGCGGGATGAAATGGGGAACTCGCAACGCGGATCTAGCACTTTCCACCGCAACCAATCCCGAAAGCCAGCCCTACAGACTTTTAGTAGGGGGCATTTGTACAGTGCCCGCACGTCCGCTATCTGATTTGTCCCTCCACCATCAAGGCAGGGCGGTATTAATTTCATGCTCACTTTCAAAACTCGGAAAGGCGCAACTTCGGGGTCACCCCAAGAGGTAGTGGCAGAGCTGCGGCTCCAAATCAGGGTCCATTTAGTCTTCCCTTTCCTTCCCAAGGTCCCGGGGACAAAGACTCGCCTCATGCTGTCCCCACCCCTCCAGTTTACCTTCAACAGGCTCTGGAGCGCGGCGAAGTTCTCCACTGTCAACGCTGCCATCTTCCCCGAGTCACCTGACGGCGACACGCGGAGAAACTCGTCACGTGGCTCCGAGGCCGCCGCAGAGCATGCCGGGGGCTGTAGTCCTTCAGTTAGTGGCGGCTGCCCGGGTGTGGCGCTGCAGGATGGGAAGGGGCCAATAGGCTGCGACCATTGGATGGCTCAGTCTGGGGACTCCAGGACGGTGGAGTTTGGAGGGCTCAGGCGCGGGATGATTTTCCCTAGTGGACCTTTGCTTGGCTTGGCTACTTACTAGGTCCAGGAAAACTGATTTTCCTTGACCCATGTGGGTGGGCTGGCTGATTTGGGGAATGCACTTGCAGGAGGTATTCACACCCATATGTAGTCCCCTCCCACCTGTACCAGGATTGGTCTGTGTGGCCAATATCAGGTGGCAGAAGTAAAGGTATGTCACTTCTACACTTATTTATAAAAGACTGCAGCTTTTGGATACCCTGTTTTCTCTGCTGCTTTTTCTTGACCCTCTTGCTCTGGGGAAAGTAAGCTGTCATTTTGGGAGCAGCCCTCTGGAGAGGTCCATGTGGCAAAGAACTGAAGCCTCTGGCCAATCGTCAGCAAGACACTGAATCCTGCCAACAACATCATTACTGAGTTTATAAAGCAGCTTCGGTAGCCTCAGTAGAAGTTTGAGATGACAGTAGTCTTGGCCAACATTTTGACTACAACCTCATGAGAGATTCAGAACCAGAACTACCCAGCTAAACCACTCCCGGATTTCTGGTCTTCAAGAACGGTACGGTTAGAAATGTTTCTTGTTTTAAGCCCTGAGTTTGGTAATCTGTTCCATAGCAGTAATAACTAATACAAGAGGTAATAAGGCATGGTGGGTTTAGGATTTGAATCCCAACTCTGCACGTTATTAACTGTACCTTGAGCAAATCCTGGAACTTCTCTGAGCCTCGGTTTCCACATTTGTTAAATGATTTTGATCACACCTACCGCGGAGAGCAGAGCTGATTGATCGGTGTTGCCGCATGGAGGGTATGCCGCTGTCCTCGCCCTTGTGGGCAGGTATGATATGAGGAGATCCCTTGGGCTCCAGTAAGTAAAAGGCAGGGCTTACAACCCTGGACCATGTCATCCCATTTTGGTAGAGCTGCCCAGACTGTCACTACCATGATCAATTTAAAGGTTTGTCTGTGGTCTGTAGAGCTTCCAGCAATTCCTAACCCGTTAATGTTTTCATAGAAAGGAACAGAATAGAATGTCAAGAGTTTATTTCCATAATTTGGTCCCGCTACTCAGAATTTTCCCCATTTTACATATGAGGAAACTAAGGTACAGAGAAGTTAAGTAATGTGTCCAAGGTCACACAGCTAAGTAGTGGCAGAACCCAGATTCAAACTTGCAAAGTTGGGTTCCAGAGTTTGTGCTGTTAACTCCCAAGCCGTACATGCCTCATTGTCTTCACATAGCTGAAAACTCATGCTCCTTCTGTCTGGATGTCTGACTACCTTCCCAAGGGCGCAAGAGCCATCTCAAGGTGTTCCTGGACAATCAGCCCAGTGGTGTGATGAGACACAAGATGATGGGTGGAAGAGGTACCTTTGGAAAAAGACTCAGGTTCAATTCCTGGCTCCTGTGTGCCTCTGGTAAGTCACTCCATTTCTCTGAACCTCAGTTTCCAAATGGGAACAGCAATTAAAATACTTTTTGACCATGATGGGTAACTCAAGGATGACTTATACCCCAAAGAGGGAAGGGTTATTTATTTGGAGACTCCATTTTAGCCACTGGCAACTCTAAAGGGCAGAGCATTCCTGTGCTATGAGAATGAGTTGCCAGTAGTGATCACCCATCTCAGTTGATCCAAGAATGAGGGATTTCCTGGGCCACAGCACTGACAGTGCTAACACTGGGACAGTCCTGGGCAAACCAGGCTAGATGGTCACCCTCATGTGACCTGCGAGCCTTTGAGGGAAATCATCCTTGGGGAACCTGTGTTCTGCCTTCTCCAGTGGGGCTGATGTGAGGAGAGCAGTATGGATGCAGAATTTTTTTAATAGAAGGTCATTAGGGGGTAACAATCATAGGTTGTGAGTTCTTTTTTTTTTTTCTAATAGCTTTATTGAGATGTAAATCACATACACAATTTACCCACTTACAGTGTACATTTCAGAAGATTTGGGTATATTCACAAGGTTGTATAACCATCACCACAGTGCAAGAACATATTTACCACCTAAGGGGCTCCTGGGTGGCTCAGTCGGTTGAGCATCCGACTTCGGCTCAGGTCATGATCTCACGGTTCGTGGGTTCGAGCCCCACGTCGGGCTCTGTGCTGACAGCTGGCTCAGAGCCTGGAACCTGCTTCAGATTCTGTGACTCCCTCTCTCTCTGACGCTCCCCTGCTCACGCTGTCTCTCTCTCTCTCTCTCTCTCTCTCTCTCTCAGAAATAAATAAAACATAAAAAAATAAAATAATTCATTAAAAAAAAGGAACATATTTACCACCTAAAAGAAAAAACACGCCCTTTAGCTAGCATCCCCCATTCTCCCTCCACTACACCCCAGCCCCAGGTAACCACTAATCTCCTTTCTCTCCTCTCGATTTGCCTGTTCTGGACATTTCATATAAAATGGAATCATACGTGATTGTTTTTATCAATTTCCTCCACTTAGCCTGATGTCTTTAAGAGCCATGCATGCTGTATAGCATGTATCAGTACTTCATTCCTTTTGATTGCTGAGTATTTCCCATTGTATGGCCGGATGACATTTTGTTTATCCACTCACCAAGTGATGGATAGTTGGCTCATTTCCGCCTTTTGGCTATCATGAGTAATGCTCTGCAAACACTCTTGAGCAAGCTTTTGTGTAAATTCATAGTTTCCTTTCCCTTGGGGTATATACCCAGGACTGGCATTCCTGGGTCACAGGGTAACTCTGGGTTTAACTTTTTGAGGAACTGCCAGACCGTTTCCCAGAGCGGTTGCACCATTCATGTTTTCATCAGCAACATCTGAGGGGTCCACGTTGCCCACATCCTCCCCGACACTTGTGATTATCTGTCTGTCTGATTCTAGGCATCCTGGTGGGTGCGAAGTGGTGTCTCGCTGTGAGTGAGCTTGCTTCCAGTTGAAATGTGCATAGCAAGCACATCTGTCATTTAGGCTCTGATGGTCATTTGAGGTGACTGGTGGAGATTATGGAGGCTTAAAGCCCAGCCTACCCTTTGGTCCTGCCACCAAGTCCGATCTGCCTTCTTCATCAGAGGAACGCCTGCAGGAGGCAGACTAGGCCCAAGGGCCTGTGGTCCTTTAGGGAGAGCCCCTCATTTCCCTCATTTCCCTTTTTCTCTCCCCTATTTCATGGACTGAGATGAGGGCAGGTGTCCATGGAGAGAAGGGGCTCAAGGGTGGCTTCACCTGTTCGGTCTGATGCCACCTGCTCTAAGTCAAAGACTGGTTTTGAAGTGGCCTGATCAGCTCAGTAGGAGCCTGCAGGCAAACTGGGGACAGAAGGCCTGAAAATGACAGGTGCACACTGGCGTGGACATGCTATCTGTGTCCCGACCAGGCAACGCAAGCTGCATGGTCTGGGGCTCACTTTTTTTTTTTTTTATAGAATACTCCTTTATTTTATTTTTTTTACAAATAGTTTATTGTCTAATTAGTTTCCACATAACACCCAGTGCTCATCCCCACGAGTGCCCTCCTCCATGCCCATCCCCCCCCCACACATCCATCAGTCTTCAGTTTTTGTCAGCATTCAAGAGTCTCTCATGGTTTGCCTCTCTCCCTTTCCCCCACCACTTCCCCCCTTCTTCTCCCCCTTGTTCCTCCATCAAGTTCCTCCTAATCCTCCTATACGTGCAAACATATGATATTTGTCCTTCTCTGCCTGACTTATTTCGCTCAGCATAACACTCTCAAGGTCCATCCATGTTGCTACACGTGGCCAGATTTCATTCTTTCTCATTGCCATGTAGTATTCCATGGTATCGATAAACCACATCTTCTTGATCCATTCGTCCGTTGATGGACACTTAGGCTCTTTCCATGTTTTGGCTATTGTTGAGAGTGCTGCTATGAACATTGGGGTACATGTGCCCCTATGCATCAGCACTTCTGTATCCCTTGGGTAAATTCCTAGCAGTGCTATTGCTGGGTCCTAGGGGAGTTCTACTGTTAGTTTCCTGAGGAACCTCCACACTGTTTTCCAGAGGGGCTGTACCAGTTTACATTCCCACCAACAGTGTAGGAGGGTGGGGCTCACTTTGTACTAACGGTGTCTTTGTGAATGCAGTATTTCAACACTGGGAAACGTGACATACAAATCCAGATTCCTGGCTTTTCTCTAAAACTGGACAGGCCTAGGCACGCTGCTCCCACCTTGCCACATGGCAGCAGCTGGCTGGGGCTGAGCCCCGGCTGCCCCCCGAAGACGGGCATGGGCTCCCTCTGCATCCCCGCTGTCCCCACTGCTCCCTGTTATGTCACACTTGGCCCTCTGCACACGTGGTCACCTGTCTCATCCCTGCCTGAGAGTATTCATTAGTGCCCAGCTTCCCTCAAGGACCTAACTGGGTAAAGCTAGGCCACAGTCGATGCCAAGGCTGGGTGTGTATTTGTGATCCTGGGGTTCCCGCTATCCGCGTCCTCATCCTGAGTCCAAGCAGTCTGCAGGTGCGGACATCTAATTTCCCATTCGTGCTTCCCAAGTGACTTGTACGGGCCAAGCGCTGGTCTAAGAGCTTCGCATGTGTAAACTCATTCAGTCGTCTCAGGGGCCCAAGAATAATCCCAGCTTACACATGGGAAAACTAAGGGTCAGAAAACGAACTCACAAGCCGTGGCTAATTAGTGGCAGACCAAGGATTTGAAGGCGGGGCAAAAAAGGTCATTGTGTGAGCTCACTCATAATACGGTGCCTGGTCCGGTGCCTGGTCCGTTAGGGGCTCTCAGTGGAGGTTCCCGCTTGAAGAATCACCTGGCCTTGCAGCTGTTGTCTGCTCCCTGAGTTGGGCAGCCCTGGCCAGGTGCCCCTCGGGGAAGCTGGGAGTTGGAGTAGATGACCTATGTGTTTGGACAGATGATGTCTGTGATTCTTTTCAGCTCTAACTTGGGGTGGACCTCTGAAAGCTAGCAAGAGAAGAGGGGAGGGAGGCGAGAGGGGCATTTTGGCAATTTGTGATGCCTGGAAGACTAGCATGCATCCAGTCGGCCACTCCTGAGGGAGTGCCCTGTCTTTCCACTTGAGAACGCCGTGAGCTGGGAGTCCAGAGTTCCTCTCCCGCCTCCAATGACCCTGGTGGGTATGATTAGCAAAGTCCAGAGTGCATGAGGCTGGGAGGGCCCTGTGGCCTTGTTTCTCAGCCTCCGTCCCCAGGAGCAACCCAGAAGTGGCTGGTAACACACAGCATTGTCCTCACACACAGGCCCTCTTTGTTTCCCGATACACAGAGAGGAGGCTGTAACAATGGCCTTGAATGGCACTTTGCTCTCCTTTCTCCAATGTTATACTCTTTTCTTTTTTTTTTTTTTTTAGTTCTGGAATCAGCTAGACAATTATTTCCTGCGGGAGGTATCAGCTTTTCATCTTTTCCGTCTGCTTCTCTGTCAGTCCTTAGTTAGGCCCCAGCTCTGTGGAAACTGAATGGAGAGCTAGACCCAGAGATAGTGGGGCCCATCAAAATGTCACCTTCACAGGAGGCTGGAAAGCGATGGCACTTCACCTCTCCTCTGCAAGGTGGGACCGGCCCTAAAGGAAGGAACCAGACCAGGTAACCTTGGAGACAGATGGGCTGAAAGCTGCTGATGGGGAGGGAGGCCTGGAGGCAATGGCTGAGGGGAATGGGTTTCTGTTTTTAAGATACCCTGTTTGCTAGAGAGCCACTGTCTGCTGGTAAACACATAAATAAGCAAAAGCAACTGAGGTCAGGTTAGCAGCCTCCCAGTTAGGAGAACACTCTGCCTGTCTGACCGTTATTCAATGCCTCTGATGTCTTAGGGTGACAAGAAACTTCAGGGTCCATGTAGAGCTATTGTTCCCTTAATATTAGCTGCCATTATTAAGCTTTTGCTGTATGTACTATATTTGTATATATATTACTACGTGTATCTTACTGTATTGATAGCAATTATAGCAAACACTTATACAATGTGGTTTCCATTCTTGCTTGATTCAAGCCCAGCACTCTGGTCCTAGAGTCTGTGTTTTTCATCACATGCTTCTTGTATAATGTTCTTTACACGAAATCAAGGTTATTCCAAGGTTTAATTTTGAGAGGTAGTGATGTATAATGATAAATGTATATCGAGTCCTTTGCCCCCTGACAGGCAGTGTTCCAAGTGTTTTGTTTCTGTGTCCTTCTTTATTCCACACAGTAACACTATCAGATGGGTACTTTTATTAACTCCATTTTATTGATAAGGCAATTGAAGTACAGAGAAGTCAGGTAACTCTCCCAGGGTCACACAGCTGTCAAGTGGCAGAGCCTGGATTTGAACTTGATTCTCTCTGGAGTGTTATGTGGATCTAAAGCCTGCCCAGCCCTGTGGCTGGTTTGGAGTTAGTGCCCTCCTCTGCGTCATGAGGTCTAGAGGGTGGCATTTTGTCCTGGGCTCTGTAGAGCATGGGTGTGAGGAATACAGAAGATCTTAAATGGCTTGCCTGTCGTGGTCAGCTTTCGCCTTGCCTGACGAAGATGGAATTGCCAGTGGTGGTAGGGAAGGAATTTGGAGTGAAAATCACTCAACAAATGCTGACTTCTACTTTGCCAGAGACTGGGCTCCGTTGCCACATATGTAGGAGAATGTATGTTAAATAAACAGGACTCACAGCACACAATCAGGAAGCCAGCTTCATTTTTGCCTGTTACTGCCCCTCAACTTTTTTCTGTGGTGTCCCTCTCTTTCCTTGCCCCAGGATGAAAGTTAGGGCAGGCCCCTGACTCTTCTGGCTACGTTTCTAGTTCTGACACTGACTCAGTTCAGTAACGCATATGTTCAGGTGTGTGGAATACTCCAGACCTTCAAACTCTGTTCCAAGTGGAGACGGTCTTCCTCCCCCAGCTGGGGCCTGGAGCAGGGAATGGGAGTCCGCAGGCGATTTCCTGCTTCTCACCTATGCTTCTGTCAGGCTGAGGATCCTGACCCCCGACCAGGACCAGAGGAGAGGAGAGGAGGGCAAAGAGGAGCAGGTTATTTGCTAATCCTGCTGTTACCTGGCTGGGCCTGGTGGGTGTTTACACCTGGTTCATTACCTCTTGGCACAATTGTGTAGGTACTTCTGAGAACACCCTCCTTCCTGAACTGCTGAGGCCTTGAAGCTGGCTGCCTCAGCCTCCTTCTCCTGTCCCCAGTGCTTATTAGTTTGGTGGGGCAGCCAAAACAGATACCACAGGCTGGGTGACTGAAACAACGGAAGTTAGTTTTCTTACAGTTCTGGGCGCCGGAAGTCAGAGATCAAGCTGTCGGCAGGCTTGGGTTCTTCTGAGGCCTCTCTTATTAGCTTGGAGATGGCCATCTTCTCCCTGTTCTCCACACGGTCTCCGCTTTGCGTACATGTCTCTCTGGTATCTCTCCATGTGTCCAAATCTCTTGTAATGAAGACACCGATCAGACTGGATTAGGGTGACGCTAAAGACCTCATTTTAACTCAGTCACCTCTTTTCATCTTTTTTTTTTTAATTTCTGAGAGAGAGAGAGAGAAAGAGAGAGAGAGAGAGCATGAGCAGGGGAGGGCCAGAGAGAGAGGGAGACACAGATTCTGAAACAGGCTCCAGGCTCCGAGCTGGCAGTCAGCACAGAGCCCGACGCGGGGCTCGAACCCACGAACCGCGAGATCATGACCTGAGCCAAAGTCGGACGCTTAACCGACTGAGCCACCCAGGCATCCCTCAGTCACCTCTTTTAAAGCCCTGTCTCCAAATACACTTACATTCTGAGGTACTGGGAGTTTGGGGGGCACACCATCCAGCCACACGGTGCTGTCACCTTCTGTCTGTGACGAGCTTGCACTCCTCCTGGGGACCCTCTCAGAGAGGATCTGCACACCCCACGAGGTCGTGGGTTGCACGCCTCTGGCTTATCAGAAACACTCAACCCCTCTTTCCCCGGGCAAACCCCAAAGCCGCCAGGCCCCCTCACCGCAGCTGGCCGCCCCATCTCTCCTCACTTTGAGCTTCCAAAGCACGACGCAGACGTTAGTCCTCAGAGATGTTCAAGCTCCAGGGACACGGTGTCTTCGAGATCACTCTTGGGAGGCGGGGGGTGGGCGGTTAGGGTGCGGAGTGCGCCTCCTGCTCACTCCGGAGCTGCTCCTCTGCACTCCCACGGTCTCCTCACCCAGCCCTCCTTGGCGGCCTGCGCATGGTCCAGTAAGGTGGAACTGGTTTCTTTCACAAGTCCCGCACGACAGTCACATCTCACTTGGACTATGTCATGTAATGTGCTGTGTCTTCAGCACAAACTGAGACTAAAATAGGCTTCCCACCCTGCTACCCCTAGGATGTCTCTAACTTTGATGAAGAACCCTATGAGGAAGATAATAGTGTCCACATCTAGCTGCAGGAGGAGAATCTGGAGCTGAGAGCGGTGCAGGAGCCCCCACCCCCCCGCCCAGGTAGGCTGTTGAGCCAGTGCAGGGGAGGGAAAGGAAGTGGAGATCCGTTTTGAGCCACTTTACTGTCCCTTCCTTAGGCCTTCCCCGCCAGGCTTCTTAGAGCTTTTGACTGTGGACCTTGTTCTGTGCGGGGAAGAATTTCCTTCTTAGCAGAATGTTAACAAGGGTGAAAAAGGTAAAATCCCTGCCTGTGCACCAGTCTGAATGCAGGGGCCGGTGCCAGGGACAGCAGGGCCATGTGAGATGGGTTCCATGTACCAAAGGGATCTTCTTGAACCCTCCGCCCCTCCCCCACCATAACTTGATCCAGGTAGTAATGATAGAGCCCTGGAATATCTTTCTTTGGGCACCAAAGCAAAATGGCGTTCTGAAAATCTTATTTGAAGCAGAAGGGGCCATCTCATCTCATCTCTATGTCTCCCAAAAGGTGCTTTACCTAAAGACTTCAGAATAGAAAGATAGTTTTTAAGCTAACTGTTTTTTGTTTCAGTTTCAAATTATTTTCTTTAGCTATAAAAAGCCCAGGCCTGCCTTTGCGCATCCTTGCACAATGCCCTAGGGAAGTAAGAATGCCAAGTGGGTCTGGCCGCTGTGTGCCAAGGCCGTGCCCACCGTCCATCTGGAGGCAGTGGTGGGCTGGGCTGGGCTGGAGTCTGGGCCCCCGGGGACTGGACAGACCTGCTCCAGGGCTGCAGCTGACTTAGGCCAGAAAAGAAGGAGAGAACACTATTTTTTCTCATCTGCTCAGCAATCATTTAGTGAACACCTATTATGCCAAAGGTTTTTTTCTGCCAGGAAGACACGGGTCGTTGAATGGGCCCTGGAAAAAGTGAGGTCTGAGATTCTGTTTGAGTTCTCAGAAGAAGGTGAGGCACTGGAAGGAGAATGTTTCAGGCTGAGGAAAGGGAGGCATGGAAGAGCATGATGCCATAGGAGACCTGCACGTGGTTTTGAATGATCAGAGATCAAGGGTAGGGGGTGCAGGAGTCAGGCCAGGGAGGAGGAAGGTGGGAGATGCCAGATTAGAACTTGAGGCTGGACGGAGGAGCTGGACCCAGGTGGGGACACGGCAGGGCTTTACGCAGAGAGGGGGCCTTTAAAGAGGTTGCCTTTTAGAGAGAGAGCGCTGATGGGGGCAGAGGGGTACACGCTGGAGCATCAGAGGCATCAAGATTCAAGGGGCTGGGCAAGGAGGGATGAAGGGCTCGACCAAAGCCCTGGAATCTGGAATGTTCCTCTGGTTTCTGACTTGGCCCATTTGCCATTCATTACCAAGATGTGTGTGTGTGTGTGTGTGTGTGTGTGTGTGTGTGTGTGTAAGAGAGAGAGAGAGAGAGAGAGACAGAGAAAGAGAGAGAGAGGAGCACAGCTAGGCTGGGATTGGAATTGGCCGAAGACGCTTTTTAGCAGGAGGAAGTAGGGCATGGAAGTTGTTCTTTCTTTCAGCAATTAGGTACTCTGGGGCCATGGGCTGAGAGCCGGGAAGAGGCAAGCAGAGGGGACACATTCCATTCCACTCAGAGCTCACAGCCCAAGTGAGGGAACAATTCAAATGTAATGTAGCAGAAAGACTGTAAAAGGGAATTGGGGAAGGGCTGGGGAAATTTGGGTACTGGCCAAGCATTTGGCGACATCAGAGAATGAGTCATTGCTAAAAGTGTGATTACGGGTGTTGTATTTTAGGTGGGAGTATACTCCTCAGCTTTTTTTCCTTTTTTGGAGGTGCGAGTTGACTTGTTTAGGGGCGAAAGGTCATGATGTCTATAATTCACTTGGAAATAAAGTAAGTACACAAACAAAGAGAGAGAAAATATGGTAAAATGTTACCAGTTGTTGTGAGTGTATGAGAGTTCACTGGATACACGTGATTGTTTTTTTGGCTTTTGGGTTTTTTCCTGCGAAAACTTTCAAAATAAAAATTTAAAAATACAGAGTAGCAAGTGTGTTGATGGGAAGTAAGGGTGTTGTGGGAACACAAAAAAAGGCCCCTAATTGGAATTGGATGGGTGAGAGAAGCTTCCCAAAGAAAATAGCATCTAAGAATAGAGAGATGAATGGTTGATGGACAGGAAGATAGGGAAGCACTTTGGGGAGAATGTGAAAGGCAGCATGTGTGAATGCTTGGTGGCCTGTTTTGTGAGAGGAACAGTAAGAAAA